GCTGTTTTTATGAGTTTGACAGCAACTCAATGAGAATTGAAGACAGGTTTGGAGATGAGGTGCTTTTCTTGCCAAGTAAGATCCAACTTCAGTGCTGGCTGTGCAAAAGTGAAAGAAAACACTCCCACCGCAAGGTAGTTTTATTGGAGTTGCGTGTCAATGAGTTGTAATGTAAGCGAGAATGAGCCATTAAAAACACCAAGGTTAATAAGTAATAAGAGATAATTTCATAATTATAATTTAATGTATGCTCCACTCTATCCCGAGCAACCAACCAGCATTGTTCCCTGCTCAGGTGGTCAATGAAAAGGATGGCTCAGTGGTATCAAGGCGGGAGAACTGGGGCGCAAAACCGTCTGGGTTTGGGTGGTTTGCTGGGGGGTTGAAAGAAAGGGTGTGCGAGGAAATGGGGTATACCCCAAAATAGTCTCTTAATAGGAAAATGGTGGCAAACCACCGGATATTGAAATTTTGAAATGCCATATTTTTAGACAAACCCATTTGCTTCAGTTTTGTTTGGGTTGAGTTTGAGATTCAGCAGGGAGCCGCACCAACACGGCTTGGAACTGCCGATCTGGTACACTCATCAGATCCGCTGTGGATTCCCATCATGTTGTACTCTGGTCACTCTGACTTCGATCCAGGCGTTAGGTCAGCATGGATCAAAACCTACACATTCATTGAAATACCAGACCATAACTGGTTGGTGGTTTGGGACATGATTTGTTTTCCATATACTGGGAATGTCATCATCCCAACTGACGAACTCATATTTTTTTTTCATAGGGGTAGGTCAACCACCAACCAGATATATAATCATTTCTTGTTATTTTGAGGGGATGAACAGATCCATCAATCCGAGCTATTTTGATACGCTTTTCCCTGGATACTCCCATATTTGTTGCCGGGGTGCCATCGACTTGTCGTCGCCTCTCAGGTTGACCCATCCCAGTGCCGTCTTTGGTGTTGCTTGGCATCCCATGCAGGCTGGCCCACCGTTTTCGCAAACTTCAACGACATGGCAGCTGTGCGCTGTTGTTTCTCAAACATAGGTAGATGAATGTTTGTTTTTTTTTGGGGGGGTTCTTTCAATATGTAGCTGGTTGGTGGTTTCAACCATTTTCTATTGTCCAAAATATATATATATATGGGATAATCCTTCCCATTGACTAATATTTTTCAAGATGGTTAAAACCACCAACCAGGTAGTCTTTGGTATAACCATGTATAACCTTTGGGGTGGAATGAAGGCTGGAAGGTTGATGTTCACTACAAAAGGGTGGAGAACCTACGGGAGTCTCAAGAAGTAGGACCATCTGTGTTTTGTATAAATGATATACACAATATCATATTCTATAATATATATATACAGTATATAATGTATAGATATATGTCATATATATATTAATATATATATATAAATATATATATATATTAATATATATATGATATATTATATATATATATATATGATTCTGTATATATGTATATACACGTATAGTATAACATATGAATTTATATACATTATATATATACTGTACATGATTATAGATTCTATAAATATGGAATGTATATGTATCAACTATTGTATTGCTTGTTCTATTCCCAACAGTTGGGCCGTTTTACAACAACCCTTAGAATTTCGAAGAAGAGAACAGGCACCGTTTTCAGGAAACCCGCTTGGAGTTCGCCACCCAGCCGATGAAGATGATTCACTGATGTTTTTTTTTTTTTTAATGGGATGTAACCATCAAATCCAATGGTAATTGAATGAAAATTGGATGATGCAGCCTGAGATTAGGGATACCGGGATACCCTCTGAGATAAACCCATGGATCTTGCATGTTTTTAGGGTCCATACTTTGCAGTTCCCTCTGCATGTTCAGTAACCTCAAGGAATTTGGAATGATTAGATAATATTTGAAACCTCTATTTCCATGGCCTTCCCATACACCTCACATATGATTGGACATTCCGACATTCCGAACGTGTGGGCTCGTCCGTCGGGGCCGTTGTCGTTCTAGCTCGGTGCATTGTGGTGACTCCCTGCAGCTGATGATTGTTTTTGAAGGCACCATGATGCCCTTGTTGCTGCTTGCCAATGAGCGTCCACATGCTCATGAGAATTTCATATTATATATATATAATATACATACATTATATTACATAAAAATACTTATATATATAATTACATATATAGAATTGAACCTCTTGGCTTAGAGAGTACTGCTCGTACAAGTTGTACCATGTGAGAGGCCATTGTTGTTTTATCATGTTTTATCTTCGATCAACTGCGATTTCTGCTTGCAACGGGGTGCTATCCGGACGCTGTACACCGATGGAGGCTGGATGCTATGTCACGGGATCACTGCGAGCATCAGAATCATCATGCCACATGTTGTCAAGCCACTATCAGGTGTCCCAGATGCTTAGTGTTTACCAACGTTTCCGATGACAATCGGCCACATGTATAGGTAAATAAAGCATATATGGAGCAAATGGGCGTGTAGATGTGCGTAGATTTCACTCATTATACAAATAAGAATCTGAAGCATGTGGTGTGCGGCCATAGTTAGGCAATGTTCCTTTCCTCGAAGGACTCCCAAAGCTTTCTGCCACCCTCTGGAAGCATTGAACCAACAGAGCAGTTTGAGAGACCATGAAAGACACGGGGATTCCATTGTTCTGTGAGGGCCTAAGTATATATTTGAAGTGCTTGTACATTGTTGTACTTTGACCCTTCAAGTGCCCATGAAACATCGCCAAGAGATGGTAGAAGTCTCAAAATCACATCCATATACTCATACTATATATATATATATACCCTATGGATCCAAACACTGTCTGAGAAGGTACTTAAGCCTCAAAATTATAGTAAATTATACCCCAAACACTTCCTAAGAAGGTACTTGGATCCATAGGGATAATTATATATATATATACATACAGTAAAGTATATAACCTCATATTCTGAGGTTCTTGGAGGGGCCAGGTACAAGATACATCTTCATTGTCATCCCTCCATCCACTTTCCAGGCCCTTCTCAGTGAGTTGCAGGATGAACAAGCGCGATTTCTAAAGATCCCTGGATCGACGCGATGCGGTGGGGAAATCTTGTGAGGTTGATACCGAAAGTATCTAAAAAACATATTGTTGGCTGTGTCCATATATATATATATATACACATGTATAAATCATTATATATAATCCGATTACCGATTACCCATTATCTCTCCATCAAGAGCAAAGTTTTCCATTCTAGGCTGGAGGTTGAACATGGTTCCCACATCGTGGTGACGCAGCCTTTGTTTTGGAGTGGCTGTTCATCACTATGGCTCGTCGACGTGGGATGGGAGTGCCATCAAAAGTATACCCCAAAATGATCCACCATAGTTGGAGCAACTTAAAGTTTTATTCAAGCAATCATGATTAGTTATTCATGTTTTCACATGATGGTGACCATGAGCTACAGACTAAGCTTCAATAGCCCCGACTGCCCAGAAAATCAGGTTCCGTCATCTCTTTGGTCATTTCGTTTACCATGTTTTTTGCGCAACAGCAAGGGACTGCACTTCTTTTGCAGTCCATTTAGACCCATCAAAACTCGGTGATTCCAGGAGTGATCCAAGTCACTCTTAAAAACCTTGGTGCGAGGATGATCGCACAGCAACAACTGGCCATGGAACGGATGCAAGACGCCTGCATCAAGTGGGGCAGCCATAATTTACCATAATTTCCCATAATTTACCAATATCTTCGTGTTCTGTACAACGTCGTATTTTTGGTGAGGTGACGAGGTGTTTCTGTTGCTCAGCGAATCACCTCCAGGGACTGAATGTTACGAAACTGATGCCCAAGCTGAAACTGCAACTGAATCAATAGCATTGTTGTGTGAGGATGAATGTACTATTCATTGTTATTGATGTTCAAATTAAATACAAAACATGAATCTAAGATATAAATATATGATACTATTATGATAATATTGATAATATTATGATGATATTATGATTATATATATACTGTACATATATATATATATACATTCCAGCAAACGAATCTGATCAACGAATTGTTTTCCCAAAGACTGCACATCGCCGTGGCCTAAGGATGGTCCCACCATCCTTTTGATATTGGTGAAATGATCAATGGGAAAAGCCATCATTTTACGGGCCATAGTTTAAGACCCCTCCATAGTTTATGGAGGTTTAATGGGTTTACTATGGTTTAATATGGTTTTATAGGGATGATAATGGGATAATGATGGGATAATACTGGGATATTGATGGAAATAGCTATTGAACATGGCCATAGAAATAGTTGATTTACTCACTAAACTCACTAATAATCATGATTTCCTATAGCTACGTTAGTTTACCAGAGGGTACTTCTTAATGAACTGTCTATCCCATGGCCCATGGCCCGTGATGTTTTTCAAGGACATGTTTTTGTGTTTTTGAATCATGTCCAATGCTGATAGACTTCTCGTGATTAAGAAACACCAAACAAAAGCCTGGTGTACCCTCCCTAATTCCGTAATCAGTCTGTATTTAACGTGATCGCGCTGAAAGGATCAATTTTGTTCGCAATTAGTGATTATCAACTCTAATAAGTAAATACCTACTTTAAATCGCCATTTAATCTCAATTGAGCAGTTGGTTGTTGACCTAGTGGGGTATACAATCCAATATGTCGGTGATTCTCATAATCCATTGCACAAATTCCAGTTGCTGAGATTGTTCCAAGTCAATGTAGCTCTTCACACTGTTAAAGTGACACGCAAGCTTAGAATTCTTCAGTGCTTGAATCCCAAATTTTGATTCCCCATATGGCCCATAGGGGTAATTACCCCCAAATCATCCAAAATTGGACCATTTGAGTATTGAAACATATTGAAACATTTTGAACCTATGGTGACTTGGTGATCCCCCACAAACAAAACCCTGTATTTTTCCTCAGGCACAAAGGGGTTCTCACCGCGGCCTCTGCTCAATGAATTCTCAAACCTTGCCACCCATGAAATCTGGCCCTAATTCTGTGCCATACGTCTGTACCTGCATGTTAACACAAGCGGCTCGAAATGATGGGGGCACCTGTACCTCGATGTCAATGGGAAAAGCATCGAGCTCATGCATGAAAGCGGAGGCTAATGCCCCGCAGAGAGCGGGGGGGTACTCTTTCAAGATCATTGTCTTGAAGTTCCCGTCACTTCCCCGTCCCAAGCTGGCCCCTTTGGGCACTTCATCTACAATCCTCCACCGGCAAATCTGCTGAGCCAAGCATGGAAGCCTCAGTGCGAGGATCATAGTCGGCTTTGCTGTGATGGCACCTAACAGTCCTTGCATAAACTCTACCAATTGAAAAGCCTCAAAGGAGAGCAGCAGTTCCAGTAAGGGTGTCCGCCATATTGTCGCCGATTCCTCCTTCTTGGGGGCGGCCGGATGTTCCATGGCTCCACATCCTCCAGTGAAATACAGTTCAACCATGATGGTGATAGAAAAGAGCATCAATTGGTTGCCCATGAAGACCTGTCGAATCTCACGAAGAGATAGGCTGGACAGGCCCCATGGACAGTGTCCCGTCCGCACCACTCTGGGCCCTGTATTGCGCCCCTTTGGATCATCCAGGGCATGTTCCCGGGCTCTGCTCCAGGTCTCGCAGGGTGGACCCCCTAGAAAACCTAGGACCCATTTCTGCCGCACAGCATGACACCAAAAGCTTTGCACTTCCGGATCCGCCACATTGCCCCAACGCTCATCCAGGATGATATCTACTGAAAGAGTATGCACCACAATCCCCGGTCTATCACCAATGAGACTATCCAGAAAAAACTGAAAGTCTCCTTGACGCCTTCTGCCGGAAAAGGCATGCAAAATGTATCTATGGGTTCCAAAGCTCTGTGGATGAGCAATAGGCCCAACTTCATCCAAAATCTCACTGTTGGCACATTGCCAACCCAGATCGGCACTGGTGACCTCTGCAGATGGCAGCTCTGCAGATAAGCGATGCATGAATGGCCAATGTTTGGTATCAATGATTTCTTGGCAAAACTGCAAACATTGAGAATGAGTCAATCCAAAGGCCTTCAAATCATCCTCTTGCACCTGGTTCTCAAAGGTCTGTACCGTCTGCGTGAATCGCGTCCATGAGATGACCCTGGCTTTCATGCGCTGAATCATGTCACTAACACTTTCAGCAAGCGTGCAACGTTCCATCAGGACCTCAGCGCAGTCTGCAAAAACTTCGGTGTCAAAATCCGCCACCTCTCGTTCCTGCGGAGTCGGCAGTTTTGGTCCCTCACACACTAAGGGAGGCAACAATCCATTGTGTTGTTGAACTAAGCATGCATTATCCATGGATCCCCAACCCGCAACAGGCGCGCACTGCAAATTCTGTCTCTGAAGTCGGAGCCGGCATGATGCCGAACTGCGGAGATGATGGTGCAGTTGACCAAATGTATGGTACTCTTTCATGCATGCTTCACAACGGGTCTCAGCAAAAAGGTATCTAAGTGGCGAGATCATGCCATGGCATTTGAACATATGAGCTCCTTCACCACCTTTTGATTTCATTTGCAACTGGCACGCAATACACCCAAAAAAGTCCTTCGCTGGCTCTGGCGGGGTTACTCGCATGGGTGGTGGTCGCTGAATCAGCTGCGCATCAGTAAATTTACACAAAATCTTCTCATGCACTTCACATACTAGAGCTTGATTGCACCTTTGGAGATGAGCATGTGCAATGGCTCTTTTGATGAGTCCTTTCCAATATCTCTTATGATAGCACCACAGGTATCTCCATTGGTGGAGATTGCTTGACGGATCCAGCAGTGAAGAACTGTGTCGCAGTTGAGACCACATCCAATGTAGGTCGTCCCGTAGCAGGGCACACCATTCTTGATCTGCATTCAGGATAGACCACGTCACATTGGAGTCACAGGCGTGCAGCGTGCCGAGATATCTCAGGCGCATTTGTCTGAAGAGCTCCGTGGGTGTCGGAAGACCCACTCGGCTCAAAATGTCTTGATCTGTGTCATGGGACTCTGGTCCACTACGGCAGAGTCTGCGGTAGAGTCTCATGATTGATGCATGAAGATATCCTTTCGCTCGGTGGGTGGCGAGAATCCATGACTCGCTGCCGTAAACAAGTTTACTGAGAATCAGCGTCTGGAAGAGTTCCACACGTTTTTGGAAAGAGATAGCATCATTGTGAAATATAGTACGGCGGTGTTGGTTGAAAGCCGTGTTGGCGATCGCGATACGCCTCCTCATTTCAATGCGGTGATCTCCTCCATGATGCAACAATCCTCCTAAATGCTGATATTGCCCTACTACTGCAATGTATTTCGTGCCAGATTCACAAATAACTGGCAGCATGCCATTGGTATGAGGGCCAAACATCTGTTTTTTGCACTTCCTCACGCCCGGCCCTCTCAGCGACAATAGGATTTCTGTCTTGCCTCGGGATAAATTGGGAGTCATGGCGAAGCCTTCTAACGTCTCCAAAAGGATCGAGGCTGTGGTACCAGCTTTGTGGATAAGCTGGTCTGGTGTGTTGTCAGTCAGACCTATACATAGGTCATCCATCCACACTGGCCCAAGGTATTGCTGCATCTCTCCTGTGTGTTCCGCAAGTCCATACGGGTCAAAATGGCTGGCGGTTTCAATGCTCTCATGGATACCTTGCGCCCGGACTTTGGTTTGGAACTCCTTGAGAACACGAGAGAAAAGATAACTGAAAACTACATCTGCAAAACAGTCTCCCGGCCGCGAGCCGATGGATGTGTGGCAGAAATCCTTTTGTCCTGGCACCTGGAAGAATGTGTCAGTGTGCAATGCTCTAATGGATCTCTGGACATGAGGAGGCAAGTCTGCGCATGCGATGGCACTGGGTTCACTGAGGTGTCTGTACAAATCATGCAACGCACTCTCAGGCAAACACAGTCTGTGTGCAATGCTGGCCACTTGCTGATCCGTCCATTCACAACCCAAGGCAAGAGGCCTAAGGACACGATAAAACGCTTCCTTTAGATCAAGCATGAGAAGTGCAACAGATCTACCACGAAGCTGATTGCTACGGAGGAATGCCCTGGCCTCATGAAGACCCAAATTCACTGGAACTTTGCGCTTACCTCCTAACTGCTGTGCACAGAGATACTGCTCATAGATCTGCGCCTGATGTTGCCGAATCGTTCGATGCAAAACTTTGCCCAGATGAGAGCTGATGAGTAAGGACCGATACGAGGCCGGCAGCATGCTGGATCCTTTTCCTTTGTATGCAGGCACAAGGGTGCCACCCTTGTGATGCAGAGACTCTTGGCCATGGATGAGCATTTTCAGCAATACACTGTAGTATTGTCGGGCTAGAACAACAGGGCAAGCTTTGCAAATTTCAGGCGGAATGCCATCTTGTCCCAGCGCTTTACCGCTTTTGACTCTGCGAAAGGCTTGCTCCAGGTCAGTCAAGCTTGGCACATCGTCCGGTCCAATGCAGATCTCAGTTTGCAGGAAACTGGCGGAATGGTGTTTCCATTTGTCATACAGCTCTTGGCTCGTAACTCTCTGTCCACCTTCCATTTGCGCAAAGAAGCTGACCCATGTGTCAATCAATTGTTCAGGGTGCACACAGAGGTCTCCCTCAAGGCTTTGGAGCATAGGTAGCACTGGTTTCTTCAGCAACTTGGGGTTGGTCGGCCCTATGTGCTGTTTGACAATTTTCAACGCCTCTGATGCCTCCGCCTCTGGAGAGAGGCTCGTGAGATCCACTGCCAGTGCTTTTTTGCGTGCGTCTTTCAATCTTTTCTTGAGATCCTTGGCAGTAACATGCAGTTGAACTCCATGAAACAATTTCCAGCATGTGAGGGCAACTTGATATCTGTGAAAAATCACGGAGTGCTCGGTGTGCCACTGCTGGTCTCTGGTTCTCCAGGCAACAAAGACAGCACGGAGAGTCTCAGCCCTGATGCGTCTGCCAATGTCCTGTACTTTCCTCTTTTGGTGGAGTTTGTCATCACGAAGGATCCAGATAGCATCCGTTATGAAACTCTTCTTGGCTTTCTTAGGCAATGGAGGATTCACTGCGTGCAAACATGAATGAACATGAGCATTGTGTCTTTCCACTTGCGCATGTGCTGCCGTACTCCATTCAGGAACAGTGAATTGGGCCAGCTCCACAGCCAAGGAGTGCCTGTCAATGCTTGACCGGTTATGGGCTTTCCGAGGTGCTTTGCCTTTGGACATCATGTGATGACCTGTCCATTCCATCTGGATAGCTACAACAGAATGATCCACATCCCTATTGCCAAGGTCCAACTCAGGCACTGTGCGTGAAAGCTTACAAGAAGGAAGCTGGTGCTGAGGAACACAGACATAGTCAATACATGCTTGGATCGTTCCATCTGGGCTGCACCAAGTGTCTCTGGGTCCCTGATGACAGGAAAATGTACACGGGAGCGCCAGTCCCCATTCAGCCAGAAAAGATCGAAAAAGAGCAGTTGACTTCGTGGTGTCCATTCCCAAAGGCCCCACACTGATGCCGTCCGTGGGTCCTGCTGCTGCATTAGCATCGATAAGAGCAAACAGTTCACCTGGCGCAATGTGCTGATGAAGCATTTCATTGAGTGAATCCCACCAAACGGTTCTCTGTCTATCTGTTTGACCACTCTGAGGTGCATGTGCCACAAGGATCCATGCCGACCAAATGTCATGAGCAATTCGGACAAGCAAGACTCTCGGGGTTTTGTGCACTACCACAATCTGTTGTTTATTCAGAAAAACTGGTTTGTTGCGAACATAGGCGATGGGCTGACGCAAATTGACCCAGAGCTCGATGCCACGATGTCCTTTGTCAGCACCCCCACCTAATCGCAGCACCTCATCAGTGCACGTGCACGTTTCCACGGTTCTGGATTCCTGGATGCCCAGAAAGTTCAAATGCAAGCCTCTCATCTGGTCTCTGATAAATTGAAGTTTACCACTGTAGCCATCTGGTCCTGCGTGAAGGGAGTTGACATTGGCCGAAGCCATACTAACCACATACTGAACTTGACTCATAGAACATTGTGGTTGCGGTTCAACAACACAGTCAGGAGGCAACACAGTCAGGAGGCAGATCGGGTGGTCTCACATCAAAACAGGAACCCTTGAAAGTCGGCAAGCCAGCATTATCAGCAAAGACTGTCCAAAGGTGCTTCAGAGACTGTCCCCACTGTTGCATGTCCAATCTTTGTCGAGGGTGGTAAAAGCTTTTCGCTCTTTCTTGCTTTGCAGCAGCATCCACAAAATCGTTCCATGGGTCCAAACTGTGGCCTCTCACATGTCGAACGTCTAGATCCTCCTGCAGAGCGCCTTCCAGACATTGAAAGATTGCGCGAAGATTTTCAAATGAAACTTCATCCTTGTTGCATCCATGTACTCCGGCTGATTGCTGTGCAGTTGTGGAGGAATCAGTACAAAACGTCGTCGGGATGGTACAGTTTTGTGCAAGCCGCCAACATCCACTCCAAAACATGGCCTCTCTCTCGGCCGTCTCTGACCCGACAACAAGAGAACCAACATGGTGGGACGCTTCAGGGCTATACAAAACAGGTTGGGCCGTCCATCCCAGGACATTGATTTTGGAGGTGTTCTGGTCCAGATACTGTTCACCTAAGACTAGGAAGGCCCAAGTGTCTCCCTGCCCCTCCATTTCTACTTGTTGTGGAGGTCGCCGTCGATGTTCTGGCAGGGAGCTGCCATCTGCATAAATGATGAGTCTGTCCACTCTTTCCAGAGGCTCACATCGATGCAAGGCATGCCATACATGATCTGGGAGTTCCAAACCATCAAAATCCCTACAAAGAAGATGGTTCGCAGATGAAAATAAATCGGCAATCTGTGTGTCTTCAAAACCTGTCGACCATTTGCAGGGAATCTCTGGTGAGTTATCCCCATCTCCACTAGGTTCAACTGGAAGATAGATGGATTGGTGTTTCTTCCAATGTCGAAGTCTGGCCGGCCACTCATTGCATTGCTTGGCAGGAGCAACCGGAGGGTGTGGTTGCTGATCACGAAAATAAATACACTGAACGTTCCGTTGTTTGGTCTGTGCACTTTCCATGATCACTGCTCTTTGGATGCCTTTTTTCCTGAGCCAACGCATGTGATCAATGTCACTGCGCGTCTGTTCTGCAAAGACATGAAAGCTAAAATGATCAGGCCTGTTAGCATCGTCAATATAGAGATAATGGTGCCCAATGTCTGACGGACACGGTGTGATGAGTACTGCCAGATCTTCAACCAAACACCAATCCTCATCCCAATGCCAACTGGTCAATGCTGCACTCACATTCGCATCATTCAAAGCCTCGACTTCCAAAAAAGTGGGCAACCGGTCTTCTTCTCGCATGTTGAGCACACGAACAACAAAACCTCCACTCATGGCAAGGCTCACATCTAATTGGGGGATTTCCTCAGTGACTCCCGCTGGTGTGTCCAACTCCAGAGGCATACTGAGACTGCAGAGAAAGGATGGCATGTCACTGCTGTCATGCAAATCTGAAGGAAGCAATTCCTCCAGACTGATCTGAGTACGTCCTTGCGTGAGACCAAGGTTATGTGGCAACTGCAGCAATGCATGTTCATCATGCATAACATCCGCTAATCTCACTGTCTGTCGGTCGATTCTTAGGGTGATTTCATGCCCTGATCTGCCAGGCCAGGGATGCCCGGATTGCAACGGATGTCCGTCGATCCATGCTCTGCAGGGCACATTCGGATTCAGTCTGCCCTCAACCAGTTCATATCCACAATGAGATACGACTTGCTCAAGGTAGATGCGTTCATCAGTGGTTACCGCAACTCGCATCATGTAATCCATGGCACGTCCAAGAAAACTGTCGTAGATCGTGACCAAACTTGTGACCCAAGTCTCATGTGGTGCTTGAACAACTAGGATGTGGCCTGCAATACCACGCTCTAAATCCGGAGGTGTTGGGATCACGACATGCAATTCATGTGAAAGCTGCTCATCCCACACATCCCTCCAGACGCGTTGGACCTCGCGTTCCCATGTGGTGAACTGATGTGTCAGTGCAACACTCCTAGCTGCCAGACAATGAGGGTAATGCTGGCGGTGATCCACAAACCATGTCAAGAATGTGACCATTGGCGTTTCACGATCCCATGATCTGGCATTGACGATCCAAATCGCATGCAGGTCTTGAACAAACTCGGATGTGTCTTGCAGTGATATTTCTCCTGGGTGGAAAACTGCAGCATTTGGATTGAACACAAACGGATCACAGGCAGCGATCGAGGTCGGCCGATCAGTCGTTGTGGGGGCTGACTCACTTCGCGGCCTTTGCATGAGGACAATATCATCAAAATAACCCTGTCCTCCTGGCAAAACTGGCAGTTGCATGTCTGCCGGTCCTACATATTGATCCGGATGCTAAAACCCGACCTGACCTCGGTCGCCACGACAAGGTGGATGGGTTCCTGATCATGATATGCAGTGCAACGGCGGCCAGTGCATATGTGCTCAATCGCCATCAGATCTATCAGATCTTGCTGTCTCACATGCCTCGTCGTCGAAAAGGCACTCTGAATGATAGCATCACGATCAGGATGAGCAATCATAGCAGTCAAAACTCCTGCGGCAAGACCTCTGTGTCTGTGTTGCTCAAGGAGGATGTGACAAGCATAATTGTGGTGGCGATACTGAGGTGGTCTGGGCCGAACCATATGGATGGAAAAATCAGTGCTGGGGTTAAGGAGATCTCTCCATTCATGCCTGAAGTCATCAATCCATGTGATGGAGGGAGATTCAAGTCTCATGGGACGAGGCCTTCGGCAGATAGGATGTCTATCATGATCAATATACCAAGTCTGGATATAAAGATATGCATCCCCTTCAATCACCTCAACTTCGGCTTGATCTGCAAAGAGCTGGCCTAGCTCCCAGAACCACGTCTCTTCACCATCATGCCTAGGCCTCAAGCGCCTCATCGGCACCCCTGGTGCAAACATCATCGGGACATCGATATCTCGATGAATCTCTGTCCCTTTGCATTGCCTGTGCGGGGGAACTTCTTCCGGGGGCCACGGCCGATTTTCATTCAGGATGTGCTCAGCAATTCTGGTGGCCTCGGGCGAGTCGAACAGATTGAGGGCTTCATGGAAAACTCGAATGGCATGGCTGATTTCCCATTGGCGATTGGGAGGTGGAGGAACGATGATTTTGAAGTACATACCATGGGTAATCCTGCGGGGACCCTGCTCATGCAAATGCCACAATTCATGGTTACAAAAAACCAAGCACTCCTGCGGTGACCAGTCGCAATATGCCGCCGTATGCGTCAAGTGCAACAAGTGTCGTCGCACCAACACTGGGACCACTTTGAAAACTTGGCGCGACACTGCAGGTGCTCTCGGCCAGGTAACACTGCTTTGTTGGGCATGCGTTTCCACATCTACAAGGATGAGTTTTTCCGTGGAACCAACAGGAATGTCATTAATGTGCTGAACGATGATGGAATCTTCATGCTCTGCAGTGTCAGCAGGCGGCACTTGTACATGATGACAGTGCGTGAGATGATGAAAAGGAACCTGGAGAATCATCGCAACATCATGCAAGACATGTTCTGCTGTGTCCCATCTCGGTCTACCAAACGTCTGTGGATGACCTAGCCTATGGATATGAACCCCAGCTCGAATGTCTGATGTGCTGGCCAAACTAGGAGATGGCACTTGAGATTGTTCCTCAGGGTCAGGGTCCTGATCATGTTGCTCACCTCCATCTGGCATAGAGTCATTCCTTTCATGAGACACCTCCGCTTGCGGATCGGGGGTTGTCTCAGGATGGCCACCACTTGAATCAGCCCTTGTATGTACAGCCACAGTGAAAGAATCACCATCTTGCATATCATGTACTGGGGCCATGGTGTATGGGAGACGCTCCCTTGCATGTCTGATAATGCATTGGTGAACATTACACTCATGAGTGTATTCGGCTGATTGGACAATTTGATAGCCACTAACAATTTCTGGAAGCGATGCAGCTACAGCATAGTTGGCTCTTTGTGCTCTGTCATCCCTTTGAAGAATCGTGACCAGGCCCGCTCGTCTGGGAGCTTCCAAGCCTTGCGACAAGATGATGTCAAACATAAACCCTTGCGGCGGAGCCCTGCGAGGTGGGTTTGGATGAACAATGTCATAAATGGCTTCTTCTTCTGGTCTGACTCTATCTCTCCAAGCACTGATGATATCATTATGCCAGTGTCGCCAATGGCCGTTGATCTCAATGACACGGTATTGGAAACACTGCGGAGAATGCAAATGGTGAACATACCAGGCTCTTAAGAAAATGCTTTCATGGATCCTTGGACCTTCAACCACACCTTCTGCTAGCAACGCATCAAACAAGTTCTGGACTGATTGTGGCGCCTCATGCAGGAAATGTCGGGCATCTTCTGGATTGTCAAATTCTTCTTCTGGGTGTTCTTGTTGCGTTGTGAACCATCTGGATGGAACGTTGTGCCAAGCATCAGTGGTTCTATATTCAGAAATCCAATATTTATGCTCTTGTGTGTGTCTTCCATGTGACTTGCGGACACGTCTAGTCCAGGGTTTCTCTTTCCAATCCTTCAAGACTTCATGATCAACAGCCGTGACACCCATGCCTAATTCTTCATCAAGACCTATATGAACCAAAACTTCCGGGCTGAATTGGACATTACGGATCCTTGAATGAGATTTGGCAGGGACCTGGCAATCTGGACGGATGCAACTACGCAGATTATGTGAGAGGCTTTCAGCTCTCTCCTTGCAGGCTATGGCGCTTGTCAGAATATCTGAGTCCTTGGACTGCACAAACTGAGCAAAGGTGGGAGCCCCACATTCTTCATCTGAAGTCTGCTGAAATGCATGAAACTCGTCACAAAGGAAACTCCACCGAAATCTCCAGGCTGATAGTACTGCAGTCATATGAGTACGGTCATCATACCAAGAGTCATCATACATTTGCCAAATGGATAGTTGTTGGAAATCAGTTTCTCTGAGGTATCCAGGGCTTGCTGCACATGCTGTTGGCCTCAGCACATAGGCCTCAACCTCGGATCCTCCTGCATGGGCGTCATGCGTACCATTGCTAAGAACTGGCACTACACCGCCGTGGCTCACGGCTTCTTTCCATCCGGTGAGGAGGCAGCTATAGGCACAGAGACTCCTCCAAATGGTTCCAAAGCGCGGGCTCTTTTGGGACGTGTGGCATTCACCTCCGTCTCTCCATCGTCCATTTGATCTCCAGCAGCTGTCTGCTGAGCTTGCGGTACATCGATCCCCAATGATGCTGCGCAGCTCTGCAGGACGGTCTGCAGTTGATATTGAACTGATTCTTCCTCCTGATCCAGATCGATGGCTGCATCTTCTGTTTCTGCCGTAACCGGTGCAATCTGAGTCATAGCTGCCAGTGTCTCCTGAGGAGCTTTTGCTGACAAAGCCTGAATGGCTGTGCGGGCACTTTCTATGTCCGCACGTGCTTTGACCGCAATTTCTTGCAGGGCTGCTTGCTGCTGCCGGTATTGATGCAGTTGATCTTGCCAGGTTTTTGCCGCTTCTGCCACATGCTGAGTCCACCTTGCACGGTGAACCTTCTTTGACTCCATCGTTTCCGTAAGAGTCTTCTGGGCCTTCCCCAGAGCCTTGGTGGCTGAATGCAGATTCTTGGTTGTCGCCTTCGAGTTCTCTTTCTCGAGGCGATCGATATCTTTCTCCAGCTTCTCGATGATTTCTTTTGTTTCCTGTGGCATTTGAGCCGCATCTGGATATGCTGTTTTGAGAGCACTGACCACTTCCTTCTTCTGCGCAATGTTTTCGACTCCTTGTGCAGTGGAGAAAGGAGTCATCGTCGGCATCAAATTGCCCACTGGACTCTCTAGAGACGGCCAGGGCGGTGCATCTGCTGTCAAAGGAGCAAAGGGCGATGGTGTGCTCCCTTTCCCCTTGTCTTTGCCTTGCTTGGCCTTGCCCTTGCCTTTGCCTTTCTGCTTTCGTGGGTGCGTCTCTTGCGACTCCCCATAGTTGCTCTTGTTGCTTTTGGTTGTACTCTGCGATTGCGAGCGGGATTGTTGGCGATGTTTTTGCCAATCCCACCCCCATGCTGCATCGTCTTCGTCCCATTTGTAGGACCATTCTTCCCATGTCGACCATCCAGCCTCTTCGTCCAGATTTGTCGATTTCTTGGGTTCCGTACTGTGCCTGGTGCCTGTAGTCCAGTGCGCATTGCAAATGGCGCACTTGGTGGCACTCTTGCGATTGATTCTTTGGCAACGCTGGCACCGCCAGGGCCATAATTCTTGCTCCATGATGTTGAGTTTGATCTTTGTCAGGAACTTGCTGTCCCTGGAATGATGGCTTGACAGTCGACGCAGAAGGCGGCGAAGTTCCGTGGTATTCAAGGGGACCAAACCAGTCCGATGTAAAAACCACGCCCGACGGGCTAAATTTCGCTGCCGCCGAGCCCTCCGCTTCTGTGTCCCACTGAGAAATGGAATTTTGTACCAGATCGAAGCCGACAATGACCAACAAAAATAGGAGAAGAAATGAGCACATAAATGGTTGAAATACCACAGTCAAATGTTCAACCCTCAGGGCACTGCCAGCTGACGGTTCGCAATAAGTGGTAAATAAATCAAATATTGCTCAATGAAAACACAAATCCAAATATTCCGCTGTCCGGTGTAGGGCCACCGCAGAACCAGGCAAAAGGATCCGGTGATAGGCCACCGCAGAGCCAGCCAATAGATCCGGTGTGTGGCCACCGCAGAACCAGTGAAATAAGAGAATTGAGATGTATTAGATTGAAATCAAATGTCACCACCAGCGTGTCGCAGTTCAGTGGAGATAAATAAAAATTTGTAAAGATTGTACCCAAATGTAGCACCACCAGCGTGTCGCAGTTCAGTAGTGCAGATCGCCGTGGCCTAAGGATGGTCCCACCATCCTTTTGATATTGGTGAAATGATCAATGGGAAAAGCCATCATTTTACGGGCCATAGTTTAAGACCCCTCCATAGTTTATGGAGGTTTAATGGGTTTACTATGGTTTAATATGGTTTTATAGGGATGATAATGGGATAATGATGGGATAATACTGGGATATTGATGGAAATAGCTATTGAACATGGCCATAGAAATAGTTGATTTACTCACTAAACTCACTAATAATCATGATTTCCTATAGCTACGTTAGTTTACCAGAGGGTACTTCTTAATGAACTGTCTATCCCATGGCCCATGGCCCGTGATGTTTTTCAAGGACATGTTTTTGTGTTTTTGAATCATGTCCAATGCTGATAGACTTCTCGTGATTAAGAAACACCAAACAAAAGCCTGGTGTACCCTCCCTAATTCCGTAATCAGTCTGTATTTAACGTGATCGCGCTGAAAGGATCAATTTTGTTCGCAATTAGTGATTATCAACTCTAATAAGTAAATACCTACTTTAAATCGCCATTTAATCTCAATTGAGCAGTTGGTTGTTGACCTAGTGGGGTATACAATCCAATATGTCGGTGATTCTCATAATCCATTGCACAAATTCCAGTTGCTGAGATTGTTCCAAGTCAATGTAGCTCTTCACACTGTTAAAGTGACACGCAAGCTTAGAATTCTTCAGTGCTTGAATCCCAAATTTTGATTCCCCATATGGCCCATAGGGGTAATTACCCCCAAATCATCCAAAATTGGACCATTTGAGTATTGAAACATATTGAAACATTTTGAACCTATGGTGACTTGGTGATCCCCCACAAACAAAACCCTGTATATATATATATTGCTTGGTTTTTCAGTTTCACTTTCAACGATCAATTGAAGCCTTTTTAGATCTGGTATGGTTTCAAACATTTTATATTTTCCATAAAAAAATAGGAGAATTCTTCCCATTGACTAATATTTTTCAAGATGGTTAAAACCACCCACCAGAGATGATGGCCTAGGCTGAAAGAGATGAATGTTCCTCGTTGCTCTGAAGGCGCAAACTGTGGACTTTTCCGGTACTTTCGCAGTTTGCGACGGAAACTGACCATTTATAGACATTTATAGATAATTTACCTCTGAACCATGGGAATGTTCCATAATAAAATTGACGTTGCGTAAAAACTCGTTATAGGCGAATATATCGAACCTAGCCCAGATAAGAGGTATTAATTCTATAGAGTATTTTTGTTTTGAACAACTATTTGAACCTGAGGCTTGGAGTTGATGAGTTTTGGGTCCGGATTCCATGTTGGGATTCCATGTTTTTTTCGCGGGTCCCATGGCTACACTATTGTAGGACTAGCAGGACTAGCAGTTGCTATACTGAAAAATGCTCAGCCTCATCCAATACCAATGTATACAGTGTATACATCATGCACACATACATATACATATATATGATTAATATGTATAAGTATATTATTTATAAATAATATACGTCACTTGAGGCAATGATTGACACACATACAGCCCAGCCAAGCACTTGGTTCAGTCTTTGTTTTTAAAAAAGGCATGTTGAGTTCAGCCCCTCACGTCGCTGATACAGCTGATCTTAAAATAAGGCAAACTCAAAAAATGTGTATACATATATATTGTACATGCAGATATACACACATACCTAACTACCTACTTACCTACCTACCCTAACCTACCCTAACCTATCTTAATTTAACCTACTCTAACCTACCCCGACCTACCCTAACCTACCCAAACCTAGGTTAACCTAACCTTACCTAACCCTGACCTTCCATAGCGCCTGGGAAACGAATACTTGACTTTAACCCAATTCACTTCATAGTTCTGTAGAGGGCTTTACGTGAGGGACTCTCCAACCACATGTTCTACTACCGTACAGGGGTGTGGCAGTAGACAGCCATGAGCGGATGGGCTGCCAGTTGCATTAGGAATCTTTCTAATTTCACGCACTCGGAAGTGATCCTAAAATCACGGCTTGTTCACTCACTGATTTGTTGATTAATGATATTTTTCTGGTGATCAATAGTGAGCATCTTGAGCCTTTGCCACATGAGCCATCTAATGACGCACAGAGAATGGAGGCATGATCAATCACTGGTTGGTGGCTTGGAACATGGCTTTTATTTTTCCATATATTGGGAATAATCATCCCAACTGACTTTCATATTTTTCAGAGGGGTAGGTACACCACCAACCAGATCAGTTTTGAAAGTACTTTGTGAAAAAGTCTTGGGATTTCCGAGCACTCTGCAAAGGTGCCAATTTAACGAGAACTGAGAAGTTCAGGGTAACCTTACCTAACCATACCTAACTTTACCTATCCCTACCTAACCTTACCTGACCCTACCTAACTTTCCTTACCTAACCGTACCAAACCTTACCTACCTACCTTACCTAGCTTACCTACCTGACCTGCATTACCTTCATGCATCCTAGGACAGACAGATGTTTGAAGAAACCGCCAGAGATTGAGATATGATGAATGATGAAAGTATCAGCAAGATGTCTAAATTGCGTCGGTTTCAGCTATTGTTGGCTACGGATTTTTTTTTTCAGAATTGGATGCTGGGAAAATCTGCGGCAGACCGCATATTTGATAGTAACAGCTATGGTTTCCTGTAGCTTTTCTCTTAGGCCAATCAATCCCCAGTTCTTTTTGGTGTCCGTGGCGTGGCACCCGTTTCCGTCACCCAGGCAGCTTTGCCTCAGGGCCACATGACCGAGGGTCGACTCGTCAGCCTTCAGTGGACGATGCTGGGTAGAGCTAGGATGCGGGAGGCGTGGCAAATGGCATAATTCATAGTATAACTAACCATGCCTTACAAGTTATAACTTACCATGCCATAGGAATGTGGTAAACCCAGTGCCACAAACTTGGTAGGTTTATTATTGGGTTTCCCATATTAAGCAAATTAAGCCATATGATAGGGCAGACCGTATGCCCCAATGTCTTGACTTTCTATAATGGTGACAATTCTGGCAAACTCATAGATTTCTTTGGGTGCCCCGTTTCCGACAAGAGAGGGCCATACAGTCGGTAGGGCTAGGGATTTTCCACATTGTATCTGGTTTGTGGTTTCAAATATTCCTAATGTTTAACATGGGATGATGATTGCCAATGGCTTTCCTATTTTTGCTGCGGGGTTGAAACAACATATTGTACCGGTATATTTCAGTGGGTTATTTCATATGGTGAGTTTTTGGCAGTTAGTAATAATTCTGGGATGAGCATCCATAGGATGGGTGGTAGTTGGTCACCATTTGCTACCTAGAAATATGGTTCTAAAAAAAGGTGGGGGCGCCTCTAAGAGGCCGTGTGTTTTTGCACATGGATATATTTCTCTTCAATGATGTTTCAAGGTTTCGCCACAACGAGAGCGGTTTTTCACAGATATTTATATATTATGGGTGTGTCAAAAGTCATGGAAGGGTATGGAAAAATGAGGGTCTCGGTGTGATTTCACTGGTTTTTGTGGGACGAAAGCTACATGTTGGAAAAGGCAGGTGTACGCTTTTTCTTCTCTTTGTTTCAGCCGCTTTTGCGGCAAAGGTCTCCTAGACATTTGTACATGTCGTTGTGGCAATTTCTTCGCCACAGAAAAACCCAGACACATTTCATGATGTCTGTCTAATAACAATATAATATATATATATATTATAACAAAATAATATAAATATATAATAACAAAATAATATAAATATATAATAACAAAATAATATATAAATATATAATAACAAAATAATATATATATATTAAAACAAAAATAATATATATATATTATAACCATGTGCAGCGTATAATATATAACTATAACTTGAAGTCCATCATCAATTTCTGACATGATGTTGAACAAAATACTATATATTATAACCATATGCAGCGTATAATATATATATAACTTGAAGTCCATCACCAACTTCTTACATGATGTTGAACAAAATACTATATATTATAACCATCTGCAGCGTAGCATATTTTTAACTTGAAGTCCATCATCAATTTCTGACATAATGTTGAACAAAATACTTGTATATCACAAACAACTACCTGGTAGGACACCTCTATACCCAAACCCGAACCCCACACCATCATCAATGTAACATCAACGTATTAAAACGTAACATCAACATATAATCAACATAACATCAACGTAGCAACGGGGCATGATCAAAGTAACATCAACGTATCAACAGTAGCCTCAACGGCTCCTCAACGTAGCATCACAGTATGATCAACGTAACATCAACGTAGCATCCACGTCGCATCACCTTGCGCGCAAGAGATATGAACGTTATCACACCCCACCCCACCCCACCCCACCCCAACAGTAGCCTCAACGGCTCCTCAACGTAGCATCACAGTATGATCAACGTAACATCAACGTAGCATCCACATCGCATCACCTTGCACGCAAGAGATATGAACGTTATCACACCCCACCCCACCCCACCCCACCCCAAAAAACCTCAAAAACGCACGGCCTCTTAGAGGCGCCCATACCTAAAACTTCTAAAGATTTGCTAAACAATTGCGGAGCGGCTGGATAAAGGAAAACAGGTGCCAAACTAGAACATATATATATATATAATTATATATATATATATATATTGGTCGGTGGTTTGGAACATTTTTTATCTTTCGATGTATTGGGAATAATCATCCCAACTGACTAATTTTTTTCAGAGGGATTGAAGCCACCAACCAGATAAATTAGGTTTGGGTTTGTGACCCCAACAGAGAATAGACCACGCAACGCCTCAGTTTTGCCAGCACCAGACCATCTGTTGCCCCGTTCGCCCAGGAAGATTTAGACGCTTTTCCACCTTGGATCAGCGAAGGTGCGATTAAGACTTCGTGAAAATTGGCTTGAGATGGACCCAGGATCATACATATATATATATATACATAAATAAATATATATATATATAAATACATATATATATATATATCACGAATGATTATATTATATGTTCATTATTTCATCATATATTATATACATATAGCTAGTGATTGCATAACATAGAAACATGAACGGACATATCTTGAATTTGGATGGTGAGTTTTTTTTTCCGGAAACACCCACGGTGTAGAAACCTTGCAAGACGGATGAAGCAATGGCATCATACGAACCGGGTATGTGGAAGCGGGTATCCGTCCCTGGGAATGACTCAAATTTTAGGGTACCCCAAAATCAATCAAAATCTAAATTAATCCTGGATGGGTAGTTTGATCCTTTAATCTTTTGCTGTAACTGGTAATTGAAGGACGTTTAGAAGTCAAGAGGTGGGAAGAGTCAGACGATAAAGAAAGAAGAAAGAAGAGCGTCCCAAACGCAGTGTTTTTGCAACTCGAAAGGTGCATAACACACCAGTCCGGCAGCACTCTTGGAAGTTGAGATGTTGAAAAAGTGCACGGCCTTGTGAAGGGAAACACATTTCGAAGCCAAAATGTTCAAAACATCTCATGGTCGGAGCACTTTGGGAAGTTGAGCTACTCAAAAAGTGCACGCCGTTGTGGCGTGAAGCATATTTCCGAGTAAAAATAGGACCGCTTTTGGACGTTCAAGCCTCGTTTTGCGCAATGAGTTCTGCACCGTGAGCCAAACGTGTGCATTTTGCCGCAGTCTCAAAAGCAATGGCAGGCGTGGGACGTTTGAAGAGGATCTGCCAAGATGCAGTTCTCGTGGCAGGCGCCATGCATGAGACATGTCCATCAGAGATGTTAGGAAGTCAGGGCGCTGATTTCCTGAGAAGAGTTGTAGATCCCCTTGTCTGCTAAGATGATCTTGTGTGACAGGTGCAACACTTTGTATGACTTGGCCTCAGTTTTTCGCGGCGGGCGCAGTACTTTAGACAGATGGAGTGGAAAAATCGCAAAACGCATTGGCACGAGGCCGTCAGTTCTGCACCAACTTTTGCAGGAAGTCTTGCAGCATTGCTTGGTTTTTGACGTTGTCAATTTCAAAACGGGAGGAAGTCTCGCATAATTGCTTCGTGTTGGAGCTGTGCGCATCCGTTTTTGTAAGGAAGTCTCGCAGAATTGCCTCGTTTCAGATATATAGATAGATGGATAGACAGACAAACAGATAGATAGAATATAGAAAAAAAGAAAAGATAGACAGACAGACAGACAGACAGACAGACAGAGACAGACAGACAGACAAACAGACAGACAGACAGACAGACAGACAGATACACTACACAGATGCACAGACAGACTGATAGACACATAGACAGATACATGATACACAGATACACAGGCAGACAGATAGACACATAGACAGATACATGATACACAGATACACAGGCAGACAGATAGACGGGTAGACAGACAGATAGACAGAGAGGTATACAAACAGACAGGTGTACAGATAGATAGACCGATAGACAGATAGACAGATAGATAGACAGATGGTCAGATAGATGGATAGATGGATGGATGGATGGATGGATGCATGGATGTATGGACGGATAGTGAGAGAGAAAACTCAGGAAGAAGGAGACAGGGAGATGTAGAGAGAGAGAGAGAGGGAGAGAGAGAGAGGGAGAGAGAAAAAAACACCTTCAGTCCATCCGTTCGCACTGTCATCCATGAATTGCAACAACTCACCTGTTGTATAGGTTTCCTATCTTTGGAACTTCCACTACCGCCTTGTGCGCTACTAGTGGTATCTACCCACCAGCTAAACATGTTTTTTGGGCATGCTATCTAACATTGGCAACGAAATGGATGCTCAACAGGTCAAATGTTAAAAACATGGCTAATTAACATTTTTAGTCCCTACTTCTGAGATTTGATCCTATCTAGAATTGGCAACAGGCAGCGCTCCTGCCTGTACACTGTACACTTCATTGTACGTCCCAGTTGGTATTTGATTAGAAATCATGGCGGTAATAAATTATTGAGTTACATTCACACGTGGATTAACCCCCTCTTATATCTGCGTTACTAGCCGAGTACCAAAGCTAACTCTAGGATCTCTGAACAACCCATTGAAGCGGTGATGCCAGTCACACAAATCATTTTGAACACCTGGCCCTCCAGTTCGCAAAGAGTTGATGACGTTTGTACACAGTCCCACCAGTCCAGGATTGATTTCTAGATTGTTTGGAGATGCCTCGGGGGCCCCTTTTGCCTTTTTTTCTTGCACATGTGTGGGATCTGATTTCAGGAACTCCTCCTTGACATTCTAGAGATTCCTAAGCGACTTCCCCCAGAAACCATGCGCATGCACTTGCAGTCCCAGGTCAGTTGGTGGAATTCAAGACAAACCAGGAAACCTACAACTCGAGCCACTAAACTGCAACTGATTTGGGACTTCCCGTGATGCCAACCATCGTCCCTATTTGCTTCAATTGGGATAGCGACGGAGAAGTCAACTTTCATATTGTGAGGAATCCACACTGCACTTAGGAAGGTTGTCATGGTTTGCATATTCTTAAATAATCTTAAATAAATATAATACTGACTATACAGTCATTTGCCGGTGACCCACAAAGACTAACAATCGCAGGTCGCGAATTTGCAACTCACCTTGCCCAACATTGGGATTTGGGTGCAATCCAATATGGCCCAGAAGGACGTTCACCAGAGTCATGGATTCATGATGATTCATGGGGGTTCATCTGGTCTAATATCTTGATCATAAAGCATACTCATATTTGATGGGCCCATGATTGGTACCCCACTTTTGACATGTTTTGACACCCGTTTGGATGAAACAAAATCCCACAGACAGCTTCAGGTATCCTGGGACCTGCACCGGTTTTCGAAAAAATAAATAAATCATGTAACATCTCAATTTTGGCAGATGTTTTACAAACATTTAGCTACTTTAAGGGTTGAAAAAAAACAAAAACACACTTAAGTAAATTGCGATTGAAGGATAGGAATCAATTGCTCGATTTCTTGATGTTGAGACCATATTTTTCTGAGGTTGTTGTTTTACCACGCTTCCACATTCCACTACAGCTGTCATCCGCATCCAGGCGAGTTTCCAAAGATCTCAGTGGAATACAGTGACGGACTGGGCCTTCCCCATGTGCTGCTGGATGGGCCATGGCAATTTGAGATTACCAGAGCGCAGATGCAATGGATACCTGCTTATTAAGGCATTGAAATCTTTTTGGTGATTGTTTGTGCTTAATAAAACCATATAAAACCATCATAGGTTCATCCGTATTTCTGGGACGTCACCTTTTGGGTGGTGGCCGCCGTGGCCCGTGCAGGAAGCGCTGTCAGTGGTGCCTCACGTCATCTCGTCACCTGGTGAACAGTGTGTACGTGCATGTGTTTGTATATATATATATATATGTATACATATCACATGTAAGTATTGCATGTGCATATACATAGATGTAAATATATTGTATATATCTACATATACATATATATATACAATATATATATACAATATATGTATGCATATAAACAATATGTGTGTATAAACATACAGTAACAAATCACATGCGATATATCTCGTGAACAAATTTGCATTCATAGTAATACGACACATACAGTTGATTATATTTGACATTGTCCATGTTTCATGACCTGTGAGGGGGTCCAGAATTGACACCCCTATAGTAGGGTTCGCGCTCCAAAAATCTAGAAAGATTGGTTTTCGTTGTTTAGGCCGTGAAATTTAATGAAGACGATTGAAGACGACTTTTCGGATAATACAGACTTATGGACGATCAGGCCGTGGTTATGGTCAGATCCCTTTGCCTCCCAAAAGGTGAACCCCCCATCAAGAGTCAGCTGGAGAAAATCGTCTCAGACGACTCATTTCGCCGCGTCTCACTACAGTTCTGGAGATGATATGTCGTATTTTAGGAGGATCAGATCACTTATAGTATAGTGAGGGACTTTGCAGCAAAGACAATTCAATCCAATATGCATCGTAAGCCTTGGGAACCCAGTGATCCATTCTCTGGGAGGTCAAACAAATGAAGCATCCACAGCATGATGGGTGTGTTTTTCTTTTTTTTTGTACGAGGTTGTAAGTACACCCATTACCCTTTCAACTACACTTAGTTTGGCTTTTCGCAGTTTGACTCATTCAAGCAGAGTTATTCCAATCCATTATTGCAGGTAAATGATATTCACACTGGGATCTAGACTTCGCCAATTTACCCCCCAAACGTGGGGTGTTGGGAGCAACCCTGTCTTCATGCCAAATCGAATGTTTTGATGGCTCACTTCATACCCCACCAGCTCAATGCAGCCTTTGTCCAGGCTCACGGCAGATCTAGTCCATCTACTACTATCCCCAAGAGACTGCTGATGCTCTCCCGGAAATTTAGATAGATGAGGGTCAGGGGAGTCAGTCTTAAAAGTCAAAAGTACCACCTTGACTAAGGTGTTCCAGTTCTTTTGTTTTATTGTTTTTGTCAGGTTTCCGGTTTCCCGATTTTTTGGAGGCCCTGTTGTTTCAGCCTGTTTGAGCACTGTGCGCAACTCTGTACATGCTGTATTTAGGGATGCATCAACCATTTGGAGAATTTGGATGGTTTGGATCTACATTAAGCGTTTTCATAGTGGCACTAACTGGAAGCTGGGCTGTCCTATATTATTTGAGTAGTGGTCCAGTGGAAATTAAGTAGAAGTCCTGCTCACTTTGTACCAGCTGGGTACCCATTCTTCGGTGAAGCTGTTTGTTGGGGCCGTAGTGGCTTCTGAGCCTCTTGGTGGCCATGTTACACAGTCCAGGATCGGGACTTGCTATAACGGGGCAGAATTAATATGTTGAATGCAGAATCCACATAGATATTCTGATAATATGTTGATCTGTGTAATTTGTTGCCAGATTAATTTGCAACAAAAACATGGAAATGATCTAAGATTCCATGGTAATTACATCATGGTTCATTTTACATCATGTTTCATTATGGTACATACAAAATCATGCAATATCATCATACAGCATTGAGGCCTGAAAGGCAATGAAAGCACTGGTGCACCGTAGACCCATCCTTTGGTAGTTTAAGATCAACCAGAATACACCGGCATTGTGTGGACCCCCTGCAACAACGTTCGCGTTCTTGGCACAGCTCGGGGATACTGATACGCTTGACCAAGGACAGTCGAAGCCCTGTTATCGGATGATAAACAGAGATCAGACCGGGTGAAAGACATCAAGAGTTTCCTGGCTCATGAATTGGGGAGCATCTTGACATTGCAAAAAAGAACATTGTTCATGGTGCATTAGAGACATGTCGCCGACACAAAATGGTGGTTTGAGCACCATGATGGTTGTTTAACCAACAAGAAAAGGGGGATAGCATCAAGCATTGGCCCAGGAGAAACATCTGGTGGTGAACGCTGGTGACAGAACCTCCCAGAAAGAATCCAGTCTTAAAATCTGAAGATGATTGTAAATTATGTTTCCACCTTTTTGGTGATACTTATTACGTTCTGAAATAAGCCACATTTGTTGATAAGGACAGCATGGTGGTCACGTCCTTCCGAAATCTGTTCCAGCTTGGTTCGATTTCCCAACGACT